GATATGATGAAAGGCTCTTGGCAGAAACTTCCAGGGATCTGACTACATTTCAAACACCTTTTGGAGCTTTAAGGCTTGTCACTCTACCCATGGGTTGGACAAATTCCGTTCCAATTTTCCATGATGATGTTACGTATATTTTACAAGAAGAAATTCCTGAAGTAACTGTACCATATATTGATGATGTGCCTGTCAGAGGGCCTGCAACAAGGTATGAGTTGCCAGATGGAAAATATGAGACTATACCTGAAAATAGTGGTATAAGAAGGTTCATAATGGAACACTTCGAAAATGCTAACAGGGTAGTTCATAGGATGAAATATGCTGGAGGAACCTTTTCGGGATTTAAGTCGGTAATTTGTGCGGCTGAAATAACAGTAGTAGGCCACCTATGCACTTATGAAGGCAGAAAACCGGAAACTGAAAGAATGAAAGTTATAGATCTTTGGGGACCTTGTAAAGACCTACATGATGTCAGGGCTTTTCTAGGAACTGTAGGGGTCTGCAGAATGTTTATTGAGAATTTTGCAAAGAAAGCAGAACCTCTCAACGATTTATGCAAAAAGGGAGCTCCTTTTGTATGGGGACCGGCACAAGAAAAGTCTATGGACAAATTGAAATCCTCACTTCGCGAAAGTAAAGCGCTCGTGCCGTTGGATTACAAAAATAATCCTAACCCAGTGGTACTAGCTGTAGACACCTCTTGGAAAGCGGTTGGGTTCTACATATATCAGGATAGCCATACGACTGGGCTTAGGCAGTATGCCAGGTTTGGTTCTATAACTTTGAATGATAGAGAAGCTCGATTTTCTCAACCAAAAAGAGAATTATTTGGTTTAATGCGATCTTTACAGGCTGCATCATATTGGCTTCTAGGATGTCGAAAACTAATTGTGGAAACAGACGCGAAATACCTGTCTGGTATGCTTCGAAACCCTGAAATGGGACCGAATGCAACCATCAACAGATGGATTGACACATGTCTAATGTTCCATTTTAAGTTACAGCATGTCCAAGGAAAGACCTTTGGCGCAGATGGATTATCACGCAGAAACGCTCAACCAGGTGACGATGTGTATCCACCTTCAGATGAACATCTCGACGAACCCGTTGGTGTCATTGAAGTGTTACCAGATCCAGATGGAGGGGAGCCCCCTTTGGATTTCGAAACCTTCAAAGATCAAATTGACTCGAGGGGGGGATATATCCAACAATTGGCTCTAGACATCTTAGATTTTCAGGATGAACTAGACAGGGAAATAGCAATGACAGAGAAAATAGCTAAAGATGTGAAAACAAGAGTGGACAATGATCCAGATCATACAAAAAGCAGCCCAGAACAGAAGGAATTTCTTCGAACTTACATGATTTCGACTTTAACTTCACCAGGCCTGGAGGCCAGGTTTGATGAACTAGAAACAGAGCAACCTTACCCGGAAACTCATAGGTCATTCATTGGACAGTCACAGGATGAATTCCTTCTTATACTAAGAGAATGGCTGAAAAATCCTAAAAAGATCGAAGGATATTCTGATAAAAAGTATGGCGCTTTCGTAAGATTTGCAAAAAGTTTCTTCCTAGACAAAGAGGATAGATTATATCGTCGAAGCATTGAATCACGTCACAAGCTAGTGGTCGACGAGTCTCACCGAATGTACATGATGAGATCTGCACACGATGCTATGGGACATAGGGGAGCATATGCAACGCAGAATATGTTAACGGAGCGTTTTTGGTGGCCTGAAATCGAAAGAGACGTACATTGGTATGTGAAAACATGCCAGCGTTGTCAGGAACGAACCAAACGTGTGGTGGAAATCCCACCCACCGTGACACATACACCATCTATTTTCCAACGACTACACGCTGATACCGTACACATGACTCCGAAATCAAATGGATGTAAGTACATCGTCCATGGGAGGTGTGCACTGTCAAGCTGGGTTGAAGGAAAACCCCTAAAAAGTGAAACTGCAAGAACTGTCGGCTTATGGCTTTTTGAAGAAGTCATCTGCAGATGGGGTTGTCTAGAAGTAATAATAACTGACAATGGTTCGGTTTTCCTTGCTGCTGTAAAATGGCTTGAAGAAAAATACGGGATAAAGGGTATTAGGATATCTCCGTATAATTCTAAGGCAAATGGCAGAATCGAAAGGCCCCATTGGGATATTATACAAATGCTCACAAAGTGCTGTGGACCCAAGAACCTTGCCAAGTGGTATTGGTTCTTTTGGCAAGTACTTTGGGCTGACAGGATCACGATTAGAAAAAGATTTGGTTGTTCGCCGTTCTTTATGGTGACAGGCGCACATCCAATATTACCTCTCGACGTACAGGAGGCTACCTGGTTAGTAAAATTACCAGATCGTATGTTGTCCACTGCAGAATTGATTGGCTATAGAGCCAAAGCATTAGCAAAACACAGGCAGCATGTGGCGGAAATGCGCGAGAGGGTCACCTTAGAAAAAGTGAAAAGAGTGGCAAAATATGAACTAAGCCACCGCCATAAAATCAGTGGTCGAATGTATAAACCCGGAGACCTGGTGCTTATCAGAAATTCACAAGTATCCTCGTCATTAAATAGTAAAATGCAACCAAGATACCTGGGACCTATGATTGTGGTACGTCGAACAAAGGGAGGTTCATATATAGTTTGTGAACTGGACGGATCAGTCAATCACAATAAAATTGGAGCGTTCAGAGTCATTCCGTATTTCGCAAGAGAAAGGATCGACTTACCTGAGCACTTCAGTACACTTATTGATGCAAGCAATGAGGAACTGGATGAAATCGAAAACACAGGCGTTGAAGAAAGACCTAACGCAAGAGATTACTACTTTGAAGGAGTTAATCTTGATGGGTCTTCCGCAGATGAATCCGGGGACTTAGAAGAAATCGAAGATTTAAGTGAAGAAGAGGCTTAGTAGACTTATGCTTTAAAAATTGGCTAAAAAGTTTAATAAAAACCTCCAGCAGTTTATAAACATAATGCGCAAGCGCCTTCTAGATTTTCCATGCGTAGTCAACTATACATGCGGGCTCTAGGTGTCCGTCTACAAAAAAAAAAAAAAAGTTCGGATAGTTCTACTACTCCTTAGTTACTTCACGCTCAGCAATCTGGGCAAGGGCAATTTCGTAATCAGCGACAAGTACATCGCGAAGACGAAGCTCCAAGTCGAGGCGCTGCATGCTAAGAAGAACGCGTTCACGAAGATCGACCTCTTGCTGCTTGAAATAAGCAAGGGTGGGATAAGCCGGCATGCGGTTGGTAACAGCAGCATGTGCGCGCGCTAAGATCTCCCTGTACAGAGGGTTGTCGATGAGCAAGGAGTTGGCAGACTCGTCTATAACAAAGGACGAGCGCGTTAGTTTACGATTTATGAAGATAAAAGATAAATACGAACTTTGACGAGACTGAAGATCTGCTAAACCACTAATAAAGGGCGGTTCAGTACGAGGGCGTTTGTCGCCAGCGCAACTGCCTTTGGCATGCTCGACGACGAGGGCCTTGTGAAATTCGCGACTGTTAGTGTCCATGCCTGGAACAGCGTCGTAGGGAATGCTGACCGTTTCGGCACGCTTGGATTTGGCTGGGGTCTGTTATGTCCGAATAGAATATGAAGTTAACAACGTGGCAGTGGACTCACGCAATAATAGCAGCTTACCTTGGGACCAGAGGCAGCGCGCTTCTTGCCTTTCTCTTTGGGAGAGGAAGCGGCGTCCTTGACTTCTTCGTCACCAAAGAGGTTGTCCACTGCCATCTGAGCAAAGCGGTACGCAATGTTAAAATTGTGTTCTGCTCAAAAGAAAATAAAAAATAACGCACGGTGTCAGCTGCAGTGATAGCGTTGGGGCCATCACACCCACCCATCATAACGTCGGTATCCGAGGGGCCGGGGACAATCTCGACCTTGTCATCCTTGTCCTCAACAACAGCCTTGGACTTGACAAGCTTGCGGGGACGCTGTTTCAAAATGTATCCGCGCTGCGTTAATAAAATGAGAAAAGATGAACAAAATAAGTATAAACGTGCCTTGGCTTTAGCGGCGGCCATTACCTCTGCAATCTCAGCCTGAGCCTGAGCTTGAGCAGTAACAGGTGGTGGAACGACCTGCGCAGCGGCGCGCGCGGCGAGAACGGCGCGACAATATTCTTTGATAGTGTCGAGGTCGGCTGGGGGCGCGATGGCGTGAACTCCAGTGCTGCGGGTATTGTACTCGCCTCTAACAAGAAAAAGCACGTTGTGCATTGGCTGGTGCATAAGCAGACACGGATCCTTGGTGTCGATAAGCTGAACCTAGTCAAGTGCGCAGTATTAGCCTTTGTTCGAAGAAATAGAGAATACGAAGTTTATAACAGAAAAATTCGCGACTTACACAGTAATTAGCGGCTACGCCAAGAATGGTGGGAGCGGCAGCGCTGTTCAGTCCCTCTTTCATGTCCTGATAAGTTTTGAAGGCAGTGAGAGCGGACTCGCGAAGCTTGACAGCGGCGGGAAGAGCGTTGTGTGGGATAGACATAATGAGCGAGTGGTAAAATGAGAGTGCGTGGTAGAAAAGCAAAAAACTGTTCTGTCCGAAAAATTTTCGCCACTGCCTGCTTTTATATGTGTGTCTGAGACCAAGGCGTGCGCGTTCCGAAATTCCGCGTTGCAATTTAATTGAAGCGTGAAAAACTTGGAGTTGCGCGTTCCAGCGCGATCACGTCTAAAAATAGAATAAACTTTCCGAGCCTTGGATTTCCCGCGCCACGTGACCTATGAACTTAGTCGTTTTGACTGAGGACAGTCAATATTTAGTGAGGGGGAGGGATCAAGGCTACCTTGATAGATAAAAAATTCGATTTCATGATTCACTAAAACCACCAAGGGGAAAAGAGTCATAAAAACGCGAACTAGAGACAATAAAACCCTAAGGCAGAATGAATTTGATAGAAAAATACGAAATAAAGTCGAAAATTCACAAGTTCACACTCTAGAAAGCATGCAAAAAGGCTCTCACTTAGGAACAAATCTCAAAGTTCAAGAAAGACAAAGTCAAGATTCTACTATAAGGACAGCAGAATCTAACTAAAAAAAAAAATAATGACACAAAAAGGTTGATATAGAAAGTCCAAAAAACTAAGATGTCCGAATGCATGCCAAGTAAAAGAGTCCGTAAAAACAAGCGCACCTACTCCTCGTCAACAAGCTCGTCGATAACCTCCTCCTCCTCCTCCTGAGAATGGGCGGAAGGTGGAAGACCAGGCGAAGCAACGGCAATAGAAGGAATAAGGGACAGCGAGCGGACGCGGCGTTGACGAGGTGTCAGAGATGAAGGCCCAGCAATGGGAGGTGAATCGTCTCGCTGAAAAAGTGAGACGAGTCTCTCCAAATCGGCCGTCGTTGAACCCGCAGGCACTGGGACCCCCTGAGTATCTACAAAGTCTTGAACGAAGCTGTACCACGAGCCGAACTCCTCGCGAGTCTCGAAAACAGTGCCTAGAAGAGTTCCAGGCTCGGCGGTGAGACACAGGTCCGCGATGGCGTTTGCGAACTCTCGAAGATTGGCGTCGCGACGATGGCGAATGGCCTCAAGGACTGCGGATAGGGTGCGCATATGAAGCGTGTCTTCTTCAATGGACTCCATCA